AGTTGCGGCTTCGTGCTGGTGGGCATCGCGATCCTCGGCCGCACGTCTCCAGCGCAAGCCCGGTTGCTCGAAGGTCTGATTACGGGCGTCGGCTTCATCGGGGGCGGCGCGATTCTGAAGAAGGGCGACAAGGCGTCAGGTACGGCGACGGCGGCCAGTCTGTGGGCGACTGGGGCACTCGGCGCGGCCGTGGGCTACGGCCTATACGACATCGCCTTCATCCTGAGCGCCACCACCTTCCTCACCCTGCGCTGTTCTCGTCCGCTCAAGCGCGCCACCAATGGCGACGTCGGCACCTCAGGCGAGCCCATGACGAGCCCTTGGGCGAGCCGATGGATGCGGCCTGTGCGATGCCTTACCCGGCGCTGGGCACCGGCGAGGACCATCGCGGCGCGGGACCGCCAACATCGCTTGCTGCGCTGGGCGACACTGCTGGAGCGCAATCCCCACCAGATCATCGGCCTGCTGTCCCCCTCGTGGGCGGGCGGTGACGCGCGCAGCACGATGGTCGATCGGCCGAGCGCGATCGATGTCGCATGGAGCGACGTGGTGCTGCGGGTGATGGGGTTGGCGGGACGATCGCGCGGTGAAGCAAAATCGTTCTTCGGGTTGTCGGATGCCGAACTGGATCGGATTGCCGCAGGTTCGTGGCGGTGTCCGGTTCGCCCCGCTTGGCAGGTCGCCGTGCGGATCAGGAACGTCGAGTGTCCGCGCACGGAAAACCGGATCGTAGGGTCCGTTGTCGCCCTCCTGCTCGTGATTTTCGCCATCTCCTATTGGATCTTCTGACGAGGCCAGTTTGTGTTCGACATCATAACATCGATCCTCGCGTCACTCGGCGGCTTTGGCGTTTTCCTGTTGATGCTGGCCGAGAACGTCTTTCCGCCGATCCCGTCGGAAGTGATCCTGCCATTTGCAGGCTACACCGCTGCCCAAGGGCGCGGCTCGCTGTGGTAGTGGCGATCGCTGGTACCCTCGGATCGGCTACAGGGGCAGTGCTGTGGTACTATGCCGGTCGCTGGATCGGCATCGATCGATTGAAGCGCTTTGCGTCCCGCCATGGCCGATGGCTGACGTTGACGCCCGATGAGGTCGATCATGTCGACCGCTGGTTCGACCGCTACGGTCGTTGGGCGGTTCTGTTCGGGCGCATGGTCCCGGGGGTCCGGACCCTGATTTCCGTACCCGCTGGGGTCAGCGGGATGCCCCTTGGCCCATTCTTGGTCTCGACGCTCGCAGGCTCGGCCATATGGACCGTTATCCTCGTGCTGGCGGGCTGCGAGCTGGGCGAGCGCTATAGTCAGGTGGCGAACGTCATCGAACCGGTGAGCAACGCCGTGCTCTGCGCTGGCCGTCATCTGGTATCTTTGGCGGGTCGTGATGTTCGGGCGATCAAGAGGTGGCCATTAATGGCTGGCCTGCTGCCCATATTCCCTGCCGGACTTTGGCTCATGGCAGCTTCGATGCTCATCCGCATCACACGTTTCGCACGCGCCTTTAGCTTGATCTCTCCGGCCAGCGCCCTCGTTCTCATCAGGTGGGTCGGTAGACTTTACCGCAGCGGGTTTCAGGCATGGCGTCGCAACGGGGAAAGTGGCGTTGGGCTGGAATATGGAGAGGATCAACATAATGGGGAATAGTAAGCGGTGGGTGGCCATCGCCGCTGCCCTAACGATCATTCTGGCCGGTTGCGGGTGATTAAGCCGCGAGATGCGGGTTATTTCCGCTTCCACGCGGACGAGGCGAGACTGGTCGTCACACGCTGCGAGCGGGTCAGGAAACCGGCAGCGACTGCGAGGCGGCGGCGCAGGCCGTGGCCGATCTCGACGCGGCGGCGCGGCGACAGCCCCTACCCAGTCCAGACGCTGATGCTCCCGATCGGCTTGCGGCGCGCGGCGAGAAGCCGCGCGCGTCCCCATATCGCGTCGATCGGCTCACCAGTCATAATGTCGATGGCGTGGCGCAGCGGGATCCATGCAGGCCGCCATCGCGTCGCGGTAGCCCCGGCATCGGCATAGACGGTCGGCTCGGCCGCCAGATAGAAGCCATGACGATCAGCATATCGTCGGAAATAACGGCATCGCAGTTGCAGAGGTGGAGGGCAGCGGCGTGAACGGGTTCACCCGCGCGCTGGGCGCGTCCATAGGTGTAGGCGCTTGCAATCATAGCGGCGTGTGCTCGCAAACAGCCTGATTTCCTGCTCACGCTTTCTGCCACTGGCGGGGAGCGTCCTGCTCGAATTATCTGCCAGTGTGCTCGCCATCATCCGGCGCTGCTTAAAACGGGGCGTTGTGCTCACGCTCCGTGCCAATGGGCTCTCAAACCCGTAGCCGGCAAGCGCTTTTGCGAAGCAGGTTTCCAGAACAGTTCTGACAAGCGGCGGGCCGCAGAAATGCGTTGTCGTCACTTGGCCCGCCGCGAGGTCGTCAGAAAGGAAGGTTTTTCGCGAACAGGGCCGGCGCGTCGTGCTGAGCGATGGAACCCGCAAGCGGACAGGATGCGATGACCCGGGACCGAAATGCTGGAAACGATGAAGCGTCTCGACGCCCATGCGAACGCCCTGTTGCTTACCGGGGCCTCCGATATCGATCTGCTCGGCGGCATGTTCGACGTGATGCCCGACTTCAAGGCGTTGCTCGACGCCGGATACGGCGGTGAAATCGACAAGAACGCTGGTCGCTTCCCCGGTTTGCATCGCTACGCCGTCATGCTCTCAATGTCGCCGAGGGATCGCGGAAGGTTCCATCCGGGTGCCGCGCTGACGCCCTGTTTCGCTGGCAGGGATGTGAGCAGACCTTTATGATTGCGAGCAGCGCAGGATGATGTCGAGCACATTGGCAGATGGCGCGAAAACGATCGCCGAGCCGGTTGTCAGATAATCCGAGCAAAAAAAAAAGGCTCTGTTTGCAAGCAAACGCCGCTACGATTGCAAGCACCTACACCTAAGCGCTTCCAGATGGCGCGGCGTTACCCATACGATTGCATGCGCCGACGGGCTGAGCGTATCCGTGGTGAATGGTGGCGTCGGCCCGGTGAGAGCTACGCCGTCCGAGATTATTTTCGCGTCGAGAACGAACATGGCGAGCGGTTCTGGGTCTTCCGTCGCGGTGATGGCGAGCACGCCTGTTCTGGCGATCTTTCGTGGCATATCCACGGAATCTTCGGATGAGTGCATCAGGCTATGTCGAGCTACAGGTCGCCACGCATTTCTCTTTCCTGCGTGGCGTGTCGTCGCGAGGAGCTGTTCGGGCGACAGCTGCGCTGGGCCTGTCTGCTCTTGGCATCGTGGATCGCAACTCGGTCGCCGGCCTTGTGCGTGCACCTCGAAGCATCAAAGAAACGGGTGTCAGGCTTATTCCGGGTACGAGGTCGATCTCGCGTGCGGCGAGCCTTCTGCTCTATCCGACTGACCGTCTGGCTGACCCGCCTCTGTCGTCTGCTCACTCTTGGAAAAGGCCGCGCCGGCAAGGGACGCTGCGAGCTGCATTGGGATGATCTGCCTCCACCTGGTCGAAGGGGCTGATCGCCATCCTATTGCCTGATCTTCCTGATGAAACCAACGCGGCCGCCCTGCAGCGCCTTGTCTCGATCTTCGGCCCGCAAGGGCTATCTGGGCCTTGTCGCTACGGCGGAGGCCGGATGATGCGCTGAGAATATATGAACTGGACGCACAGGGGCGGGATTCGGTGTCCGGTGTGTCGCCCTTGGCGATGTCCTCTATCACAGCGTCGAGCGGGAGCTCTTGCAGGACGTCGTCACGGCGATCCGTCATCGAACGACCATCGATGCCCAGGTTTCAAGCGTGAGCGATATGCCGATCGACACCTCAAATCCGGCAGCGAAATGGAGCGGCGCTTCAGCCTCTATCCCGATGCCATTGCCGCATCCCGGGACGCATAGCCGGCGCCTGCGCGTTCGATCTGGGCCAGCTCCAATATCAATATCCTCAGGAGGCGACCGCTGGAGAAACCCCGCAGTTGCTGCCCAGGCGGCTGACCGCGTCAGCGGCGGCCCGTATGTTCCCGCAAGGCGTGCCGAAGGCCTATCGTGATCAGCTTGCCCATGAGCTCAGGCTCATCGATCAGCTGAGCTACGCGCCCTACTTCCTGACGGTGAACAGCATCGTTGCCGAGGCGCGTCGTCGCAAAATCCTTTGCCGAGGACGGGGCTCGGCGGCAAACAGCTGCGTCTGCTTTCGTGCTCGGGATAACCTCGATTGATCCGATCAAAAGCATGAGCTGCTGTTCGAACGATTTGTCTCGGTGAGCGCAAGGAGCCGCCCGATATCGATGTCGATTTTGAGCATGAGCGCCGCGAAGAGATCATCCAGTGGATCTATGAGGACCTACGGCCGGACCCGTTCCGCTCTGACAGCCGTCGTGACCCGATACCGGGCGCGCGGCGCGTTGCGTGATGTCGGCAAGGCATTGGGGCTTCCCGCTGACATGACGGGCGCGCTTTCGGGCCTGATCTGGGGCTGGTCCGTCGAGGTGTGAGCGACGAACAGGCGCGTGAACTTAATCTCGATACCAGCGATCCACGCCTTTCAATGACCCTCTCCCCGCGCGCGGCTCATTTGGCTTTCCGCGGCATCTCCACAGCATCCGTGCGGCTTCGTCCTCACCTCTGACCGGCTGGACGAGCTTGTCCCCATCGAGCCGGCGGCCATGGACGATCGCCGGGTGATAGAGTGGGATAAGGACGACATCGATGCGATGAAGTTCGCGAAGGTCGACATTCTTGGACTGGGCATGTTGGGCTGCATGCGCCGGGCCTTTGCCTTGCTCGAGGAACATCGCGGCGTGGCGATGACAATGGCGTCTCCGACGCTCCAGCACGATGATCCAGCTGTCTGTGCGATGATCCAGCGTGCTGACACGCTGGGCGTGTTCAGATCGAGAGCAGGGCGCAAATGTCGATGCTGCCGCGCATCAAGCCCGTAAAATTCTATGATCTGGTGATCGAAGTGGCGATCGTCCGCCGGGACCGATCCGGGCGACATGGTGCATCCCTATCTGCGTCGGCGTGAGGGAACCGAGAAGGCTGAATATCCCCGCCCGAGCTGCGAGGCGTTCTGGAAAAGACGCTGGGCGTTCCCTTTTCAGGAACAAGCGATGAGGGTCGCGATAGTCGGTGCGGGCTTTACACCTGCCGAAGCGGATCAGTTGCGCCGGGCGATGGCTACTTTCAAATTCACCGGCGGCGTCAGCCATTTCTGTGGCGACAAGCTTGTCGAAGGCATGGTGAAGCGCGGCTATCCGCGAGATTTCGCCGAGCGCACTTTCAAGCAGATTGAGGGTTTTGGCTCTATGGTTTCCCCGAAAGCCATGCGGCGAGCTTTGCGAAGATCGCCTATGCCTCCCAGTTGGATGAAATGCCATCATCCCGATATCTTTGCGCTGCGCCCTGAATGCGCAGCCGATGGGGTTCTATGCGCCGGCCCAGATTGTCCGCGACGCTCGCGCGCATGGCGTGGAGATCCGCCCCTGTGTGAACGCCAGTCGCTGGGATTGCACCTCGAGCAGGGCAGGGGACGGTTCCGGCGGTGCGCCTTGGATTGCGAATGGCACGCGGCCTGTCCAACCTTCATGGCGCGATGATCGTGTCGGCCCGTGGCGAGGAGGCTTTCGAGAGCGTTGAAGCCGTGTGGCGCCGGGCAGGCGTACCACCAGTGGCGATAGAGCGCCTTGCGGACGCAGACGCCTTCCATAGTCTCGCGCATGATCGTCGTCAGGCACTCTGGCAGGTCAAGGGGTCTGGGTGATGCGCCCTCCGTTGTTTGCGGCAGCCGACGCGCGTGACGGAGCGATCAGCCCGGAAGGCCAGAACCTATGGTGACGCTCGAACCACTCAGCGAGGGGCGTGAGGTGGTCGAGGACTACCGGACCATTCAACTTTCGCTAAGGGCCCACCGGTCCAGTTCCTGCGCGAGGAGCTGCGCCGCCGCGGTGGCAAGGCTGCCGCCGATCTCGATCAGGTCAAGGACGGCCGCCATGTCGAAGTGGCCGGCATCATCCCGGTCCGTCAGAAGCCCGGCTCGGCAAAAAGGCGTGCTTTTCATTACGATCGAGGATGAGACAGGGATCGCAAACGGGATTTTATGGCCCGATCGCTTCGAGGCACAGCGCCGCACCGTTCTGTCTTCGGCAATGGTCGGCCTGCGCGGACGTCTGCAGCGAGAAGGTATCGTCACGCATATCATCATCGACAAGGTCGTCCGATTACACGCCCATGCTCCGTTCGATTGGCACGGGTCGCTGCCGCATCTGACGGCGCCCCGCTGATGGGGCGACGCGAGGCGGCGGACCGGATGCGCGATGGGCCGAAATCGACGATGGTCAGAATAAAGTCGCGAGACTTTCATTGACCTTGGCGTTGCAACGAGCCGAATTGTCGGCGGCGACAGGTGACGGCATTCGGGAACGACTTTGAACAGGGAGGAGGCTTTTCGACAAGGCGATCAAGCTGATCGCGGATCTGCCTTGTCAGCGTGAGGTGATCGATTTCTGGGACATGCCGGAGGTGCGGCCGACAGCGATCGCGCAAAATGGCGTGCCGCTGCCGACCGGCTCACAGAGATCGGCCAGAAGGTCGCACCGATCTTGCCGAATATTTCGAGATATGGGCAAGCGACGCGGCGGTCAGCGCAGAAGACCTCGAACGCGGACTTGCGCTCATGCCGCCTCCGGTCTTGAGGTCGTGCAAAGCCTGCGAGCGAGCAATATCCTCGATCTCCAGCTCAGCCTTTGGCGGACTACCGGCGGCGCGCGACATCACCGCATTGTTTCGGTCCGAAAGTAACGAAGTTTGGCAGGGAGAACCGGCTCGGTCGAACAATTTATCCAGCTCCAGCTCGATGCACGCGCGGCACATGGCGACCCTGTCGATATTGCTCGCTGGACGCAAGATGCCCACCAGCACAAGGCGGGGTACAGCCTTTTCAACGGGCATCGAGCTACCTCGTCGTTCAGCCGCCGGGAGGCTGGCATTTTTCCTATTCGAAGTGTGCGGAAGCCGAATGCGTGGCCCCCGTCCGCGACGCCGAGAACACCGGGCGTGAGGAGAGCGATCTTCCGCGCGTCGGCGAAGGTGGATATCCGAGACCAGGCTTTATTACGAACTGAAGGCAGCGTTCCTGCGATTGAGGTCCTTCAGCATCATCGGCCAGAGGGCTAGGGCGCCAGCATCTCGACATCGCCATTCCGTCGCTGCGGACCGCCATCGAATTCGGGGCGCTCAGCATGATCTGCCTGTCGCATTTTTTCGGCGGAGAAGACGCATTCATCCGGACACAGGGCGTGATCGCCGCAAGCTGGGCAAATGCAGAAAGGTTGGTTGGCGTCTATTCTACGCACGCGAGGGGTATGACCTGACCGATCTGATCGCCCAGATCGCAGCGCCGCGATGACCCCTGCCCAATTGACACAGAGAAACGCGCAAATGAAATGAAGGCGTCGGTCATCGCAGTGGCCGGCCGCCTGCTCAAGCGAAGCCTTCGTGGCACTGTCTGAATTTCTGGTTCCCCATCCTGTTTTCGCGGCATTGGGCGACGGTAGCAGGCGACGTTTTCCGAAGCCGACGGAGAATGGCGATGGCATACCTTCCAGAAGATTTCGGATGTTAAGCTGCGCGCGCGCAAAGATCGCGCGTGAGCAGGACATTCCTCGGCACCAGCACTGGACACCGCCACACGCGGGGAGGATTTCAGAACTTCGCCCATGCGCTCAAGGAACTGCCGGAGCTGGCGCCCGCAATTGTCCCCCCCATCGGATCGAGGTCCTCCAAAGGCTGGTGGAGCCGAAAGAACGCTCGGGTGGACAGGTAGCAACATCTGTCAGCCTGAGGCATGCGTTGGAGTGACCCGGTAAACCCCATCAGCTTGTCGAAACATTGGGCGGCTGCCGCATCGACGGAGAGGCGCGCCTGATCAGCGATGGCAGTCTGCGCGATCGCGAGGCGAGCATAATCGACGTAGCGAAGGTCGCTCGCGCGCTCCAGTTCATGGATGCCACCGGCCTCAAGCCATCCTGATCGCGGCGCTGCTATCCCAAAGGGGACTGGGACAATCCGGCCGCCCATTGCAGATCGCGGCAGCTGCTGGTTTGATCCGGAGGCGCGGGCCTATGTGCTGGTCACCCAGCCCCTATCCTCGACGCGCGCTATGCGCAGCGAAAATCAGGCTGCCCGAGACGAAGCATGGTTGGCGTGCATTCCGCAGCGAGTGGGGCAGCATGTACGGCTTCGGCACGGAACTCCATCTTCTCTGTCCGCCGGCCTATGCCGATATTCTTGGCGGGAAACTTGCCGATCTCGGTGCTGGTCCGGATGCGATCACCAACGAAGCCGTCGTGGACACCTGAGCAGAGACCCTGCTGTGAGATTGACTTCACTTTTACCTGAGCCGGTAAAGTGACAGAAGCGACTCCGTCCGGGCGACGGGGGCGACGGGGCGACGGGGTGGCAAGTTCGATGGCTGCCGGCGTCTTGCCGATGCGATACCGATCAGGAGTTATTGATCATGCGTGAGATCCGCCCACCGCTGGTTGGCAAGCTTGCCCTCGCCGCGCGCAGCCTCGTCGAAGTGCCTCGCGCGCACGCCGCCCTCGCTGTCGGCGTCAAGGATGAGGATCTTGCAGCGTTTGAAGACCAGGATCAGGGACCCCCTGATCCAGACGCAACAGAGCGCCTGCTACATTATCTCGAGGAATGCGGCGCCGTTTTCCTCCCCGAAGGGCAGGAGGCGGGATCGGCGTTCGACTTCGATTCAATGCGCGCGACGTGAGAGCTCTCAATCGCCTCGAAGGCGAGGCGGCCCGGTTGGGAAGGACGATGTGTAATCAAATGCGGATAGCGCGGGCGCTCCGGTGAAGTGCGACTGTTCAAAACGACGTCGCTCCTCTGGAGGGATTCACATTCGGCGCAGGATGTGCTTGAAATGTTCCCATGTTCCAGCCCGATCTTTTCGCCATGGAAGCCTCGATAACGCCGGTCAATTCGACTGATCGCGAGGTGCTGGACATGCCTGCTATTCTCGAGCGGCTGACCGGAGGTTTGCCAGCGGCCGCGATATAGTTTCATGGTGCTCAATCTCATCGCGCAGGCCAGTGACCGGAACAGGTCAGCAGGGCCCTACATTCGTGAGGGGGATCGCCGCATCCCGGTGCGTGACTGGTTGTGCGATGCCCTCATGCCCGTAGCCCAGCGTGATCCCTGTCGCCTCGCGATCGCGGATCCAGGTCAGGCGAGAGCTGGCCGAGCGTAACGCGATGCCCGCTGATGCGCGTGAAGCCGAAAGCCTCATTGAAGCGCAGGTCGCCAATCGGATCCGTCTCTCGGACGCACCAATGTCAGTCGCGCTGTTCCGAGCTGGTGCGGGCGGGCTGGTTCGCCGACATTATCAGGGCTACCGGGTCGACCACCCAAATCGCGGTGCCCAGCGCCAAGCCGTCTACATCGTCAATGAGGCAGCGCGCCGGGTGCTCCGCCGCGCCTGACACGCCCCGAACTAAATTCCAAAGCCCGCCATTTACGCAGGGTCACAAAGAGACTACCTTCCGACTATGGCGAGCATTCTTACCCCTTGGACAACAGCGTAAAGCCGGCACCGCCGCGCGCAAGGTCGGTGGGTATGGCGAGCTTATTCGGCTAGAGACCGAGCGCCGGAAGGCCAAGGGCGAAAAGATTGTGCTTGAAGCCTCGACCGGGCGCTACATCTTCCAGCCTAAGAAGACCGCCCCAGCTTCTGCAATCGATGGCGTTGACGCTCGGCCTGCTGGCGAGCGTGCTCGTCCTTTTGCCCGGCCTTGCCGTCCCGGCTGCGTTCAATTTCCGGACAAGACGCGGAGGCGCACGGCGGCCTGAGCTTGCGCTCACGACGATCAGCGCGCTCGTCATGGCGGCAGCTGTGTCGATCGTCGTCCATCTGGTGGCATGGGCCGCAATCGAAGGGCACTCGCCTTCGCGATCTTTTCCGCACCCGCCCATCCGGTCCTCGATCTCAGCCCGACAATTGAGAATCCCCCGACCAGCTTCTTTGCCGCTGTGGCAGGGAAGCAAGCCGATGGCATTTAGCGGCGCAGTCGCGCTTGGCATGGTCCTCATCACCGAAATCGTCGCGCTCGTGAATTTCGTGCTCAGCGAGACCTTCGAGCTGGCCTTCGACGAATACGACCTGAACGGGCAGGGCTGGGTCTTTGAGCACATCACGCGCCCGGCCGAGAACGGGTACACGCCCGTGGGTCACGTCTTTACCGCCACGATGAGCAGGGAAGTACGGCATCGCGTACAAGGGCCGATTGTCTGACATCCGTCAGGGCGACAAGGGCGAAATCCTCTCGATCGCTCTCGCGCGGCCTGAACGGTTTCTCTATATGAATTGGGAACGTTCGACGACGATACGCTTAAGAAGAGCTGGATCGAGCGCTTTTGCCCGGAGACGCGGAAGAGCCGGAGCCGCACAGCGGCGTGCGGCATCATGAGAAAAAGGATTAACCGGGCGGCGTGGTCGCGCTCGACGCGCGCGTGATCAATAATATCGTCGTGCGGAGCATCGCGGACGAACTGCCCGAGCAGATCGATGAGGAAGTCCCGGACGAACCGGAGGTGCCGCTCGCGTGAATGCGGCCACGCCAAATTTGTTGGAAGGCGCAGGAGGGCTCTTCAGGCTTTTCCCTGACCCTGATCCTCCTCGCTCTCCTCTATGGGTGGCGCTGCTGAGCCTTACTCGCGACCTGTGGCGGATCGTCTTTCTGTATGAGACCCGAAGGGCGCCGACGCTCGGCTTTGGCAGCGCCATTGCGATTGGCGTGTACATCACGGCTGGCATCACCCTTTGGGCAAAGCACTATGTGGCTATGATGTTCACGGTGGCCGCGCTCGGTCACCCGGCTGCTGGTCAAGTCTGTCCAGTCTCTATGCCCGTGGCGCGATGGGCGGAGGTGCGCCAAGCGGCACGGAATCCGATCGGTCGAGGCGGCCCGGATGCGGGAGACGCTCCCAGGATAGATCCAAAACTGCCGTGGCGCGGATACTTGTTCGACGTGGAGCGCGCGGTAAGACGTAACCGCTACGAACCGCCTCCGATCTGATGGTTCGCCTTGCAGATCACTTGGCACGCGAACATTGCACTACCCGTCGCCGGTGATCGGGTGCCCTGCGGTTCTTGTCCTGATCTGCCTGCACAGAGCCGCGGGGCCGGTCTGCCGCTCGGTCGCTTCTATCCGATCATTCTCGAATGAGGATGAACGCGCCGAACTGACCGCGTTCTTTAACGCGGAGCGTCCTGCCTTGGTCGCGCCGGACCTGTTCGACCGCCGTCCGACAGCGTTTCATTCCGACAGGTTGGTCGTAACGCGCTACACCGTCCCGGTCCGGCTGGGCCCCGGATCAGCCTCTTTTACCGGCCTGAGGACTATCGAACAGCAGCAGTCCGGGCAAGGTCTGTCGCTGGCCCGCGGCTGCTATACCACGGAACTGTTCGACACGAGCGAAGCGCGCGACGAGCATGGGATTTTCCTCGTCCAATCCTTGCGGGAACGCCACCCCCGCAAATCCAGTTGATCACGTCCGACATCGAGACGGGCGCTGGCCGCGCCTGACCCGGCGGGCCCCAACGCTCTGACCAATCCCGACCCCAAGATAGCGTTTGCTGCGGCAGCGACCCGCCGCGTGCCTATTGCATCTCCAGTCGCGCCTTGACGCAAAAATATATCAACACATATTCGCCTAATATACATGAATATACGAGGTGGGGCGTGTTTTGCGACATTGAAAAAAACAAAATCGGGCCTTTGGAACGCGGTTTTCTGCGCTTTCCATGTCCCCGCTTCGTCACGACGCGGTGACGAGAAAATCGATTGGTCGACGCAGATCGCGCTTGACCTTCCATTGCTTGGAACCCGCATCCCCGGGAAAAACAGGTGGGAAGCCCATTGTCCGGGGTCCGGCAGAAGTGGCTGAATTAAGGAACGAAACTATGCGGGAAAATCGGTCGCGACTCTGCTGTCATCAGGGGCGCTTGGAATGGCACTGCTGCTTGTTGCTTGCGGCGGCCCCTCGGGGGGCTCGCAAGGGCAGGGTGGCCCCGACGCCTCAGGTGCCAGTTGCTCAAGTCATCGTCAGGGAACTGGCGCCGTCGAGCGAATTCAATGGTTCGCTGACTGCACCCAAATCGGTGGAGCTGCGTCCACGCGTGAGCGGGCAGATCATCGGGGTCGATGTGCCCGAGGGTGGCATGGTTCGTCAGGGTCAGACCCTTTTCCGGATCGACCCTCGCCCCTTCCGGGTCGCTGTCGATCAGGCCGCGGGCAATTTCGCACAGGCGGGAAGCCGGGCGGCACAGGCAACAGGCCGACTTCGCGCGTGCCGAGCGCCTGATCGCGACCGGCGCGATCTCCCGTAAGGAATATGATGCCGCAGTGGCGCAGCGCCGCGCCGGCCTCGCGTCAGTTCAGGCGGCGGGCCGCTGTTGCCGCAGCGCCTCGATCTGTCCTTCCGGGTGACAGCGCCGATCAGCGGCCGGGTCGATCGCATTCTCGTGACGGAAGGAAACGTGGTGGCGGGCGGCGCGCAGGCGACCCGCTCACGACCATCAAGTCCGTCAATCCGCTCTACGCCGAATTCGACATCGATGAAGCGACCTATCTGAGCTTCGTGGAAAAGG